CTACGGAGAGCAGGCTGAAGCAAAACGCGCGCGCACTAGTAGCCTCTGCCTTCTGAACGTGCGAGACAACTGCCAACTTGTCGCCACCCGGGCCTCAAGGAGCCACCGGGACCAAACAAAGGGGCAACTCCTTTTAAAACACAGGCGGCGCGGCCAGTTGTTATCTCAAGCGTTGTGCCCCAGCCTCCCTTGAGGGAGGCTGCCCAACGAATTCACAGAATTCTGACGCGAAGTTCCGCTCCATACGCGCGAACCATTCTATCTTGGCGGGGAAGGGGTGGCGGTGGGATACCATTTACAAAAGGTAGCCTCAAGGCACCGGGTCGAACCTCAAGGAGGTAGCAAAGGAGGTAGCCTCAGCAGCATAGGATGTAGCCTCAAGGCGCCGGCTCAAGGCCTCAGCAGCAAAGGAGGTAGCCTCAAGGCACCGGGTACCATTTACAAAAGCCTTGGCGAGTGTTTTGGAAAAACTCTTTGGGCACTCCTCGGCCACTCGCGTGTTAAAAGTATGTTGTCTTTGCCCGTTAAAACCACGCGTTGGTTACTTGTTCTGGAGTACCTCCCCTTGCAATGTTTGCACCTACGAACTGAGGGCTCTAAAGGCAAGAAAGTAGCTTCTAAACAGGTGGAATTCATCCAGGGCGTTCCCCATTGACAGAAATCAGTTTTCATTTCACGAGTTGTTCTGCGACGCCTCAACTGGACCATTTGAGGGGCCCCCCACAAGAAGGATAAGCACGGCTTATCGATGCAATACCGATCCATATGCAGAGACGCAACTTGCGCGATGCTCCCCGTGCTTTTCATTGTTTGGTTACCGAAGTCGATTTTCCATCTCTCAGATTCATTTCGCAGCGCAGGAAGCCCAAAAATGCGCTGTAAATCTCTAAGGTTGCGGCCCACTAGGTCCAGTACGAGCTCTGGACCGCGATGTACACGGAGTCCCATAATGAATACCCAGAACGAATCCAGACATCACCCAGCCTCGAATACATCTTACGAGAGATTGCTTGCACAGACCACGCTTGACTCCGAAGCGAATATTAAAAGCGATAGACAAAGACCCCGGTCGAGCCAGCTCGAGACACTCTCGAAGCACCAGAGAATATCTCGAGGAAGAACGGAACCATCAGCGCACGCGCAGGCCTGCTGGCGCCTGCAGCGGCGCGGCCACATTCTGCAGGGCCCTCGGCGCAGCTATCAAACACCTGGCAGCGAAGTCGCGCATCAGGATAGAACGCCGACTTAGGAGCTCTTTGATTCGGCCCCCTTTTTGGCACCGCCCCACACTGCTGTCGGACGACCAACGACCTCTGCGTCTGATGTCGGCTATTGTCCGACGCCCTGCCAGAAAGTCCGCGCCGGGCCCTGAGTGACGAAGCCGATGCATCACGAACTCTCCGATGGCATCTTCGAGGTCGAAGTCCCTCACCACCTCCGTCACACTGTCTGCGAGCGCCAACGCCCCCGCTCCGGCGAGGCTCTCGCCGGCGGGTCGGATCCGTCGCAATCGGAGAAAGGCAGTCGCCAAAAGGGCCCAATCTACCTTCACCGTCTCGTCGGACTCTCCGACCTTCGAGCTGATCCCCAGCTCGAACGGGCGCAGCAGCATGGTCACAGCGGCCCCGGGCCCACCGGCACTCACTGGCGGATGGACCACGCCCCAGGTTATACGGGACAGCTCGCCTGGGCGCAGATAGCAGTGGTGGGCTACCAGGACCGCCACTCCCTGAGTCAGTCTGCCACTTGCGATCAGCTCGTTCGCCACCACAAAGCGCAGGCCCTCGGGGACTGGCAGTCGCGACTCGCCGGGGGCGAGCCTCCGCAGCGTCGCGGAGCAGGCCCGCGCCCGAGGCAAGTTGCTGACCTGCTTGCCCACCGTCGCGAAAGCCCATGACAGAGCTGCCATCAGACGGCCGCCCTCGCCGCCAGTCGCCCCCTCGAAGAAATCCCCGCCGAGGTGCCCCGCCGCCGCCGGGTCGAGCTCGGCCGCGCTCAACTTCCCCAGGGACCTCGCAATGTCGCCCTGCATCGGGCCCAGCTGCGCCCCACTGAGGCCCCGATCGACGGCCATCCCTGTTCGACGAGCATGCCGCGCGAGCCGAGGAAGATAAGACCCCCGAGTAGGTGCCCCGACCACGATCGCCTCCTACACTGTTCGGCCTGGCAGCGCCGCCGTGCACTTCCAGTCGCCGACGCACCCGCCGTCGCACGTGCCCTGGAGCTCCCTCCGGCGGCTGCCGTCGACGAGCGAGCTGAGAGACCTGGGCGGGAGCCACCGCTGGCGCCGACATCACCCCAGCCCGGCGCAGCGGGTTGAGCGGCACCGTCGGCAGCTCGCTCCGAAGCCCTGCGGCGCCACTGCGTGAGAGAGCTCTCCCCTCGCGCGGCGCCCCACCCACGGCGGCGCCCGCCTGCGGGGGCCTTCTCACCAGCGCACCTCAGGCCCCTAAGAGAGGGCTCATATGCGACATTCTTCTCGCTCGGCACCCATCTCAAACACAGCTGAATATCCCACAAAAAATAAGTACAGCGAGCTGGCGACCCACGCGGCACTGACCTCTGACCTCGCGCGCTGGACCGCCCTGTTTGAATCGAAATCAGCGCGCCCAATTAATCCGCCAGGACAAAAACACGCCTGTTAAAGTAGTGACCAGTTCTCGCAAAATTCCGAGCGACCCCTACCAGAGCACGGCCCTCGAGACAAGCGATGCGCCCCTCCCGCGCCCAGGCACCATTGCACTCGGCGCGTCACTTGGCGCGCAACAAAGACGAGTGAAGACCTGGAACTGGCCGAATTCTGGGCTGCGAGCAGTGATGACCGACGCCATATCCACCATCCACACCCTCACCAAGGAAGACGTCTCGTGGATTCACTCGACCACCTCCTAAGAAGGGCCATCTATCCGAATAGCTGCTCGCCTCATCTAAAGTCTCAGTCAACGGCCTAGACGCGCGCGTCCCAAGACCCCACGGAGTCGCATCACAGGCAAAGGCCTTTGGACCCCAATCTTTCGTCAGATCGCACTCAATAAGAGGAGGCAAAGCTCGCGCCCATCGTAACTCATGCAACACAGCCGGCCAAGTTACTTGAACGATCAGGATTCCTCTTCGCGAACACATATACGGCGCGGAAACCATATAACATCTCCCGCAGAAGCATCGCCCGATGGGCGATGCGCCCAAACACTTCACGAAGAGACCTCCCTGAACACCTCCGCCTCCTGAGAAGAAACTCCAGAGCAAGCCACACCTTCCACCTCCTCATGCCGCGGTAAGATCCGCCCCTCTCCTGAAACGCTACGACCAGGAAGATCTCCTCCGACTCCGACGACATCGACCTCGCGAGTCCCAAACCAGCTTCCCGAACCGCCTGCAGCGACCGAGTAGTAGGATCACGGCATTCTTCAGGAGTGCTAGAGCACACGCCCACGTTGTCCACATACAACGACACACAGCCGTTTTTTCAGACCGCCGGTCGGACGACGATCTTGCAGAAGCTGCGAGCTCGGATACGCCTGGCCCAATATCCTCGTGCGTTGACTGGCACCAGCACAAAGCGCGCACCCAGCCCATAGGCAGAATCGTAAGCCTCGGCCTGATGACGCCGCCAGTGGACTCGATATCGGGGAGCAGCTTCTTCCTCCATCTTGCCTTGATGGGGGGTAAGTGGAAAAATGTGCACAGTTCGGGGGGTGTTCCGAACTGGAAAAAAAAATCTTTAAAACCGTACTGACCTACATAGAGCTGCTCTCCGGCATCGACCCGCAAGCGAAACAGGGCTCCTGAAGTCGGGAGAGCCACGCAATCGCTGCTCGAGAAAAAGCAGCTCGACCGCCGACAGTCGGCAATGAGACGCTGGGCACCTCTCTTCTTTCGCACAGTAAAGTCCTACGCAAGCAACGCCCTCCTCCTGCACAAATTCTACCATGTTTCGCCCATGCAGCATCATCAACGCTGCGGCATAGCGACGTGCTGATCTACGCAGGCCGGGATCACGATAAACCTTCATCCCGCTCGCCCCACAACTTTGCAAGCCCACCGAATTTGCAGCACATGCTCATCCATCCACGCTCGGACTTCCTCGCGCCCATTTGGGCCAAGAAGCTGACGCATGTCAGCGGGGGCCGCCTCTATTGGCCAGAGCGACAGCAGAGACTCGCCCAAGGGAACTGCTGGCGAGCTCTCCAGAATAGTCATACCCGCCGCTGCTGCTCGGAAAAGCCTCGGCCAGCTGAACACCATCGAGGGGGCGCCATCCTGCTGCATCGCGCACGGACGCGCTCCAGATTGCCAGGGCCATCTCTCAAAAAGTTGACAGCGCCAGCAGGGAGGTCTGAAGCACCCCCAAGATACCTCGGACAAGACAGAAACGGCCTCTCGACTGAAACGGCCTCTCGACTGAGCCTATTCAACCACTGCTCCGACGACGCAGGGAGACTGCTCATACTGGGGGGCCGCCTGCACGCACGGACCGGAGGACCGACCCCCGATGCGTTCACCCGCTCTAAAAGTACTACGACCTGCCGTCAGCGATAGCGGTAGCCGACCCGACGCACATCTTACATCACGGGCAACCGAAGCTGCCAAGCGGCCTCTGCTACTTGCAAGCGGCCGAGGGAGGCCGCCCCCAGAAGCCGCGCGTGTCCTCATGACTTGTCGCCCCCACCACGACCGCGACCTCCGCCTGGGGGCTGACGGAGGAGGGCTCTTTCTTCTCGTGCCTTCCGCGCTTGCTTCTGGATCTGAGACTCCTTCTCGAGCTCCTTACTCACGTGCTCGATCAAAGACGGAGCACAACAAACTTTTGGATTCACATGCTGCCGACCCTCGGACAGATCCATCTCATCGCTCGCGATCACTGCCGAGCCGCTCACAGACGAGGATGCCGATGCTGAGCCCCCTCGGTCGCCGTCACGCACCTTCTCCGCAGATTGATACTCGATGGTTTGGAGACGGCGGGCGCTCTTCTCCATCGCCACCAGATTGGACAGGTCAAGCTAATCGACGCTGCCCGCCGCCTCCAAGCACGAACACAGCTGCGAGTGCTCGGCTACGCCCCAATCTGAGGCATTCAGCCGAGCGGTAGCCTTCCACCAGCGATGGTGGTCCTCCGGCCCAGTGTTGCGCCGTGCCAAGAACAGAGCTACCCTCATAGCCGTCCGCGGCCCTTTCACAGGACAGCTGTCGATCGCGCTCTCGTTGATGCTCTCAGCCACGCTGCTCCACGGGCGATTCCGCTCTCCCACCGGAGTGTACGTCACCGGCAGCACCCGCGCGTCGCTGGTCTCGGCATGGCTCCGCCGCCAACGCTCAACCTCGTACCTCAGCACCTGCTCCACCGAGAGGATGTCTGCGCCGACGCGCGCGAAGCCGAGCTTTCTAAGAGTGGCCTCCGGGCCGCCCACGCACTCGTCCCCGACAGCTGTGATGGCGTTTCTCTCCACGAAGAGCCACGACTCGGGAGCCTCCTCCTTGAGGCCCTGCAGCACCGCGCCCGCTGGCTTGCCGCCAGCTCGAAAATTGTACACGCTCGCGCCCTGCTGACTCGCTGGGATGCTCCCGTCCAGCCTGAAGGCGCGCACTCCCGTCACGTCGCCATTGTTCGGCCCGTATTCCTCCTCGTACAGGTCCCCGTCTGGGGTGTAGATCACCCACCTCGTGTCGCCAGCCGCTGCCAGCAACATGCGAGCGTGCAACAGATCATCGTCGTAGCGCACCAGCACCTCACGCCCTGGCGCCAACGATGAGGACGCCACCGCTGGAGCTGCCGCCGCCGCTGCCGCCCCGCCTGGGGCGTGGCCCACCAAAGCCTGCGCCATCACTCAAAGTGAGCGTCGGCGGAGAGCGCCTGCACGAGCAGCACCGTCCGAGCACACCTCCGAGCAGCAGCGTCACCAACCACAGGCAGCACTGCACCTCGAACCTGAACACGTACTGCGAGCCCTTCACAGACAGGCACTCCGCGTTGCTCTGAAGCTGCTGGGTCACCAGCCGCGCGAGCGCCGCACAGTCTTGTGACTCCGAGCCCAGGCACTGGCACACACACACACACGGGGGACAGCTCCCAGAGTCAGGAGTCGCCGAGCCAGCGATCAAACCATGGAGGCCAAAGATCGAATCGTTCGTGTGTAGAGCAGCAAGGGATCTACCTGCATGCGGCCAGGGGAACCATCTCCTCTGAGCCACGCACGCTACGGAGAGCAGACTGACGCAAGACGTGCGCGCACTAGTATCACCCGCAGCTCCATTATCATCATCATCAGCAGCAGCAGCATCATCGACATCATCATCATCATCATCATCATCATCATCATCATCATCATCATCATCATCATCATCATCATCATCATCATCATCATCATCATCACCATCACCATCACCATCATCATCAGCAGCAGCAGCAGCAGCAGGAGCATCATCAGCATCGCCATCAATGTTACTACCATCGCCATTTCCATATCCTGCGCCATCAATGCCACAATCGCATAAACAATCTGCAACACCATCGTCATCGAATTCGGTCATCGTCATCGTCATCGTCGCCGTAATCATCACCATCATCGTGGTCGTGATGGTCATCACCCCCACATCAACCATCATCACCATCATCGTCCTCCTCCACATCCTTCTACTCTTTCCCCTTCTTCTCCTCATTATCCCCCCCGCTCCCATCAGCCCAATGATCATCATTCTCCCTCTCCTACTCAACCTCCTCCGGCTCACCCCCGACTTCCTTTTCCTCCTCCTGCTCCTGCTCCTCCTCCTGCTCCTCCTCCTCCCTTCCCTTCTCCGATCCGCTCCTCCTCATCTTCCTCCCCCTCCTACTCAACCTCTTCCTCCTCCTCCTCCTCCTCCTCCTCCTCCTCCTCCTCCTCCTTCTCCTCCTCCTCCTCCTGGTGGGGGATACAGGAGGGCGGAAGGTGGGATGGGCAACACTCTTGCGGGCACCCCAGATGGCTGCGAAAAGCCGGTGCAGTGTATCAGGCACTCGTCCATGTCGAGGGCAACCACCAGCGGCACAGGCGC